AAAAAAAAAATACCTGCTGTATGAAAAAATGTCTTGGGTAGTTTTGTCATGGTTTTGTTTGTCTCATTTATTCTGTGTATCTTTAAAGTAAATTTAGACTTTTTTACTGATTTTAATGGTATCTTGGTCTCACTAACTGATGTGGAGGAGAAACTCTTTGATAGCTATGAATAAGCTACAGTAATGTTTCTTATTTTTTCTTAGGCTTTATTATTATTTTTTTATTCTAAAATTCTGGAGTGAACATTACAGAAGTAGTAAGGTTTAGGTTATTAATGACAAATTAATTTCTTTTTAGCAATATTTTCTAGGATAATCCATTTTACGGTTTGTGTTTTCTTGTTCTGTACTCTGCCAACTCCTTTTGAAAATCAAAATTTGATTTTTTAGTAGCTTCAATGAGGTATAACTGATATACAATAAATTGTACATACTTAAAAAAGTACATTACCTGTAAAGTCATCATCACATTTAAGATAGTGAATATGTTTGTCACTGAGAAATGTTTCTCATTCCCCTTGTTAATTCCTCCTTCCATTAGCTTTTGGAACCAGTGATCTACTTTCATAATGTCATCTATGGATTATCACTATGAAATTGAATTTTAAATTTGAATTGTTTTTATTTCCATAGAAACTGGATCAGGATCTCAATGAAGTCAAAGCTCGAGTAGAAGAACTGGACAGAAAATATTATGAAGTAAAAAATAAGAAAGATGAATTACAAAGTGAAAGAAAGTTAGTATAGACTAAAATATGCCTAATTTTTTTTTTAAGTAATGTTGATTATGGATTGTTACGTGGTCTTTATGTTATAAATTAACTAAGTTTAATTTCAGTATTTTATTCTAAAGTGTATATTGTAAGTGCATCTTATGTATTTAAAATTAAAGGTCATCTAATTTTTATTAATTAGTTACTTGTGGAGAGAGGAAAATGCAGAACAGCAAGCACTTGCTGCTAAAAGAGAAGATCTTGAAAAGAAGCAGCAACTTCTTAGAGCAGCAACAGGAAAGGTAGGCAAGTTCTTTGCATTACCCAAGTAGTTGAGCCAGTCATCATTGCAAGAATTTAGTAGCTTTCAAGCTGTAGATCTTAAGTTCTAGGTAATAAATAGGAAAATAGAGTCAAAATAGAGTCACTTATCACTTATCCTATAAATGTAAAACAATAGAGAATATATAATTATCCTGATGGTATACCAACCATGTTATTGATGTTAGCACTTTTGATTTTTAGGCAAAGAAACCATTTTTTCACCCTAGTGTCACAGAGCAGACCCATAATATAAAGTGTTAAGTGTAGTTGACATATTTTAAGGGGATGATGTTTACTCTCTGGTATATATTTAAATGTATGATGTAGTGGGCTTCTTACCAGCAGGAAAGCCATTGGTGATACTGATGTTTTTCACTGTTTAAACAATTTATAGGCCATTTTAAATGGAATAGATAGTATAAACAAAGTGTTGGACCATTTTCGTCGAAAAGGAATAAACCAACATGTACAAAATGGCTATCATGGCATTGTGATGAATAACTTTGAGTGTGAGCCGGCCTTTTACACATGTGTGGAAGTCACTGCTGGAAACAGGTGAAATTTTTTTGCTTGATATTGGGGGCTTGGGGAGGTAAGAGGGAATAAGGACAACCTAAGAAACAACTCTTCATAATTTTTGTATAATATGTCTTCCATTATCTCATATCCTTGAGGTTCCTTATTTAACTTTTAAGAAGTAGGTGCCAAGTATTTGTTTCTAATTGTATGAAGTAGAATTTTCCCTATTTTGGGCTCCCCTTCCTGTATT